GATCAGATCCAAGGCCGTGTTTCACGACAATCTAAATTTGGCCGCAAGATTGTTCGAAATAGTTCGACTGCGTAACTTTCCTCATCAAGTCATCCAGCCAGATAGTATTCGTTCTCCGGTGAAAAAGCGCGCTGTTGTAATTGCGATTTATTCATTTGGGCGCTTTCGCTAGATATTGAAAATGCTTTTGACGCATAAATCTTGCAACGATTAAATTACGTTACATTTTGCTATTTTTACTTTGTGTATACTGATCCAATCATGCAATATATGCAAATGTAAAAATAAGCTGTTCCTCTAAATTATCAAAGACAATAAATTTTACATATTCCAATAATGAGATCAAAGTATTAAAAAAATAAAAAAAATAGAGATAAGTGTGACATAAACTTAAGATGACCCAAGAGCATGCTTATCGATGCAAATAATAATGAACTTATATGAGGACATGAGAGATAAATGTTAATTTGGCATATTTGGCTGATTTAAAAAGTGCTGATGCTATTAAACGTAATTGTCTTATTTATGCAGTTTGCAAAATTGATAAGCTATTTAGATGTTGTTGTTACTGAAAATTATTTGCGGATAAACGTTTTATCTTAAATACATATAAAAACCACTTATTAATATTGTAAAAAGTATGAATTGTATAGAGTGTGGTATAAACGTTGACACATTAATTGAAGGACAGAAAATTGCGCCTTTACAACTGCGTTCGATCGCCTATCGAACTTGCACATATCGAACATTCGCTGCAATCGTGTCGCGTATTTTTTTTCATGGCCTCACAGAACAGTGTAAACAGAAGAGGCCAGGCGATAAACTACTGCCGTTGACACGTGTATGATCGCTTCTTTCTGCTACAGCAGCGAGAAGAACCACATCGTCGGTGACCTCGATGATCATCAATTTCCGGGACATTTTATCATTTAATATAAATCTATATAAATATAAATATGTATATAAAAATTTATATACGTAATATGCAATAAATAATTATTATGAATGTTCATAAAAATAATATTTCGCGATATTCCAAAGAAACATTGCAGCAAGAAACGTATCAATAATAAACGTCATCTTTTCAACAGTCTATCGTTTAACGTTTACCTAACTGTGTTTACGACATTTAATAGATGACGGTCCGACTCGATCATTACTTCGATGAGAGGTTTCTTCATCTCTTCGCATCCGCGACAAAAATATCGCGGATGGATTTATCACGCTGAAGCACGCAACGTGCATCTCGGAAAAGCGCGATAAAGTCGTGAATAGAGATGTAACGAGGCGCGTCGTGTCGAGATGAATTAAGTCCGCGAGTTCAAGTTTAAAACCTATTCATTTTGCGGGAACGGTAAAAATACTGTCGCCAAATATGTCGCGTTCAGTCGCGTTCTAGCACGCGGCGGTATTTCTGCGGAGAAAAGTGCAGCGCGCCGATCACGAATTGTCGAGTCGATGAATAGGAAGTGCAACGAAGCGTGTCGAAGGCTTATTGTCCGCGATTGTGATAATCCAAGCACTGACAAGGTTCTACAAGAGATAAATCTTGATCTTGATTAATCTGAAGAAGATTGGTAATTTTGACCAATGAAATAAAATAACGGTTCAATTTCTTTAGTAATGTCCATACTTGCTGATTTTATTGCGTGAGAATAATTTTAAAACACACATTACATAGAAAAAAATGGCCTCCCGTCGAATTTGCTGAAATTGTAGTATGATGTAGTTCATAACGTTCTGTCGAAAGTTCCAATGAGTCCGAGGTAAAAAAATGAACAATTTCCGAGATACGGGAGGGGGGAGGTCAAAGGTCAATCATATGAAAAATGGCCTCCCGTTGAAGTTGCTGAAATTGTAGTATGATGTAGTTTTGTAGTTCATGACGTCCTGATCAAAAGTCCCAATGAGCCCGAGGTAAAAAATAAACAGTTTCCGGCAAGATACGGAGGGTTAAAGGTCAATGGTGCCTTATTCAAAATATCTATTTTTTGTGTATATTACGAAACTACGTTCACACACAAATACACATACATACGCAGAACGGCACATGCGCACACAACAACACTGCTCACATATGGATACACACAAATAAAGAATAGAATTTTCGAATGAGGCACTATTATTGATCTTTGATCCCTCCGTATCTCGGAAACTGTCCATTTTTTGACCTCAGGCCCATTGGGACTTTTGATCAGGACGTCATATAAACTACATCATACTACAATTTCAGCAAATTCGACGAGAGGCCATTTTTTATGTGATGTGTGCGGGTTTTTTTAATCAATGTTTACAAGAATATTGTTGTGTGCGAATATTCTTTTACCACTATTTAATATCACTGTCCCGCTCGTAAATAAAAGTGTTACATAACCGAATCCGCTATTGCATCCTATTACATTATTTGTCGATTTTTGACGATACTTGTTGTTGGTTAGATAAGGCATATTATAACGGCTTCGGAAAATTACAGGGATATGATAATGAGAGTATCAAGAAACGATAAGATTCTTTATATTAATCGTCAGACTAAACAGTTCGACCTTGCTAAAACACTGCAAGATGAAGGCAGAATGACACAATGCGACGACCCTGTATACACATAACGAACAATCTCGTGAACCGTACAATGTCCAAGTTTTATATTGAGTTTTCTTTCTGTGTGGTATCTAGCCAATTTATTAACTTAATTTTTAGTTTTTTAAGTTCTCTCTGTCTTAAAAAATCTTTATTCTAGATTTATAGTGCTGTCTAATTACGACCAAGCCTGCCCGAATTAAAGTAATACTTTTTTAAAATTTTGTTTGCATTACTTAATAAGTTATTATAATTATATTGCGTTCCTGCATGTTATATATTTTTATCAAATATACAAATATGAAAATTTAACGACACGAATATTTAAATGTCCAACTTAATTAACCCGTTGAGGTCACACCTCCTAAAAGTAACGTAGAGGTCACATGGGGTCCAATGGAATTTTTTTTTCTTAACCCAAACTTTTTTTTTTCTTAAAAGTATACTATTTTGAGAGTAAAACGCAGGAAGTTTTTTTTCTTTATCTCAAAAAATTTTGATGAATATTGACCCCACAACAGTTGCCATTGGCGTTCTTTTTGATGTATCGACTCAAACCTTGAACTGGAATTTAGTTTATGACTTCCTCTTTATAATCCAATAATTCTTTAAATTTTTTTATGTTGAAAAAACGCGAAAAGAAAAATTTTTTTTCGAGAAATTTGACTTCACAAAAATATTCATCAAAATTTTTTTAGATAGAGCAAAAAAACTTTGTGCGTTTTACTCTCAAAATAGTATACTTTTAAGAAAAAAATAAAAAAAGAGCCTGGGGTCTACTGGACCCCATGTGACCTCAACGGGTTAAACGGATAAATATATAACTACTAAATGTGTACACGAATCATCGAGATAAAATCTCTTTAATTTCTCTAGTCACATAGTTATCTTATGACTGACTTGTAGCTTAACTCGATTGATTTTTAATATAAACTATAAGCCACACCTTTCTCGCTCTGTCGGAAGAGACAAGCATTACACCACTCATATCAAAGTGTTCAGATGCACTTACTTTTGCTAACAGTGTTCGCAAACCTGCTGCAAACTAATTATATTCTATGTTGTATCAATGATTTAGGAGATAACTTCATGCTGTGAGATCTGAAATCGCTTCCACGCGATTCATGGTCTGCCGATTCTCTGCGTTGCCGTTTGGTTTCGGTCTGGTACCTACTGTACATGCGTGTCGCGTCTCGGGCCCGGTTCACCCGGAACCGGTCCCCAGAAAAGGAAGAGCGGCTCACCGGTTCGTCGCGTCTGCCATGAGAGTCGTAATTCTACTCCGCGAGTAACCTGATTATGTGTATAATATATGCGCCAGCACGCAAAAGTGTATCAACGGCAAAATTATATGCGCAGATATGCATTAGACTCTAAGCGCAACTAGGCTTTTTAATCAGATCGAAAATCTATGCAAATTGTACTGAATTGCAGTAATCTTACATACATAGCAAAACAAACGTTCTCTTTGTAAGGATAATTGGGATTTAAACGAATATGTGAATATTACTTACCCTGTATGTTACTTTTATCTGAAACTCATATTAATGAGATGTAATAAATCTTACTTATGTTGCCGGATTATGATGACCTTTAGTCACTTGTACCGTTCGCTTTTTAACCACGCGGTTATATCGTATCTTGGAACAAAAATGTACGTACGTAATATAAGATAGATCATTTTACAAGATACCATAATACATTCGACAAACGATTAACGGCGTCGTATCTGGCCATGTTTGACGTACAGATAATAATTGATAATGCGGGAAAATACATTAATGTGGATTATATGCGCGCTTATCATAACAAATTCTTAAGGTACAAAGGTATTTTTGTAGGTATAAAGGTACACATACACGATTGTTTTTATCACTGCAAAGAATGCGATTACTAAATCGATAAACATATAACTGTCACGCCGTATATCGGCTACTAATTGGCATTCAATCGATACAGCTAATAAATATTTTTAATGGCATTAAAATTATATACAGATCCACGTGATCCGAGGATGATTCGAATAGTTGACGAAATTTCTGGCAGCCAAAAGATGTTCCTAACCACTTTGAACGCTATATATCGTTCGTAGACTACACCCACGAAAATTAATGCTACGTCTCGACGTCAATAATAATTTCGGCGCCAGAGTTCCCTTGAAGAGAGACCGTTAAGCAGCACATTTTCAGTGTCGTACGATTTCTCGCGCCTATTCTTATTGTTACTGGCTGTCGCTTCTGCCCAGTTTTACGATTCTATATTTACGAAAGAAAACACAAGTGTGCAAAAATATGTAAAATATAAATATAGACTTTGTATCTCAAATAGCTCTAATTTTAAAACAAATGAAATCTTCCACACTCATTTTGTATATTTCGAAATTTCTGTCGAACTTTATAAAAGTGGGCCCTTTTCTTTTGCAGGTCTAAATGTGTTCGATAGCGATGCCGGCCGAATTAATTCTACACAGCCCTCCGGTGTACAGCTCCCTGTTGTACGGCCCCTATATGGTCACGGCACCCACGATCACCAGCCGATCGGTGCCGCCTAGAATCAGGCCGTGTCTCTCTACGGGATCCTTGTCACTGGACTCGCTGCGGAACAACGATGGCAAACAGAAGAAACGGGTGGTGTTCGCCGATGATCGCGGGCGCCCTCTCACACAGGTATTTCCACGATTTTCTCTTTGCCTTCGTTAAGATAAGTCACGCGCGTGAAATCGGTTTTCTTATACGACATATGAATTTGATTACTCGCACATCACGATATTTGCAGATCGGGGTCTCGGTTTTTCGGCAAGTTAAAGAAAAAAAAGCTCGTAAGTTTTTATAATCGCTAAAACCACCTGTCGTATCGTATATCAAAGTGAAAAATAAAATTCCGGTCACCATTACATTCACGAGATGTTTAGTTTATTTTTGAGACACAAATAACGACGGAGATAAGCAAAGCCAAAATGCTTAACCGGCGACGTGTCAAACAACGATTTTTTATTTTGCTTTTAAAATACGGTTTTTACTTGAAATTGTTCTTACTAAAGTAGCACGTTAACATCTGGCCTGAGGTCCATGAATCACGCATTTAACTTGTGCGCTTATAATCGTCAGCTTTTGACAATTTATATTTCGTGTATAAATTGTAATATATTGATAAACTATATTACGTGTAAACTGGATTTATGTCAAAAGTAAGTGCCAAGAGGCACGTAATTTAAACTCACTTAATACGCCAAAATGTCAAATAGAATTACCTTACGATCATTAAAATCAAATAATAAAATTACAATGCAATTACAATGCAATTAATACTAATCAAGACTACAAATCCGAACTTAATTCCTAGTAATGTTAAGTTAATAAGAATTTCTTTTACGAACAAAAAATTCGCAATAGTTTTCTAATAATAATTTATATCTTTATTTCACTGTCCAACAAAGAGAACCTCGCATTTTAATTTTTTTCAGTTCTAATCTGTCACTATTATATCATCCAACAATCGGATTAACGTTGCATCCAATTAAGTTTTTCTTTTAACTTGTAATATCATTCTATATTTCAATATTTCGTTAACCTTGATACTTAGGTTCGCGTTATGTCGGAACCGAGCAACGTACCACCACTGTGGAGCACGGCCTACGTGGCGGGCTTGACCGGAGGTCTGCTCGGCATATCGAAGGATCAAAGTCAGGAAGCGACGCAGGATAACACGCCGCCGTGGCAAGTGACCTTTCCGCAGCCGGCGAGCGACTATCTCGCCTTCCGGCGTAAGCTCGATCAGGACAACGTCAGTCTGGAGAACGTAATTGTGCGCGAGTCCGAGCAGTGTCTGGTGGGCACGGTGAAGGTGCGAAATCTGGCCTTCGACAAGGAGATCGTGGTGAGGGCCAGCAGCGACAACTGGTCCACCCACGAGGACGTGCACTGCACGTACGTGGCGCAACCGGGATCGCCGGGTTCCCTCATCCTGTACGACACCTTCCGTTTCCGGCTCACCTTGCCGGTGGCGTCGGACGTCATCGAGTTCTGCGTGAGATATCGCACCGAAGGCAAGGAGTCGTGGGACAACAACGAGGGCAAAAACTATCTGATTCGCAAAAAACAAGAGGTGAGAGTTTTAAACAAATTATTTAATCTCTTAATACGTGCAGATTATTAAATTCATGACGTCACTTCTATTTGTAGTCCTTGTAATGCATACGATGTTCTGTGACTGATGGACTGACAAACTAACATATTTCGTAAAAGTTACGTGATTTTATTTACGACCATGTATATCCGAACTCCGAAGGATCTTCAGATCTTCATCAAATATTTGCTAAGCAGCGGCAGTCTATCGCGTTATTGGTTTTCAAGGATATTCATGGCTTAAATATTCTCTAGAACACGCAATTGAAAGACAACCGTATTCTTTGCGTATAATGCTTATAATTGTTAAATTTTGATTTTATCTCGTTAACGCTTGGAAGCTAGAGATATATTTTGTAAAAGCTGTTGCTTTCTTTTTTGTAAATGGTAGGTTAAATATAAATTCTGAATATTTTTTTAAAACGTTTTGTAATGATGCCAGATGATTGAGACACGTTATACCGATGCTTCAGCCCCGACCGGCCGTACGATATGACAACATCCAGACAGCGAAATGCAACGGGCTCTCCAACGGCAACGAGACGAGGGACAGCATGCCGCAGAACGCGGATGCCACCAGATTGAACATGCGTACCTGGAGCGAGTTCGCGTCCTGGCAGCATCTGGCCAACGACGCGCCTTACTGGTGAATCAACCAGTGAGGAGGTCATGTTCCCTCGTCTCGATATCGAAATCATGTACGAAGCTGTACAAACTTCTCCAGTTTTCTCACCTCGGCGACTCCGCCGAGACGAAGATCACGCGGGATCACGAGTCGTCAGGGAACGTAGAAACGGAGGGAGGAATAAACGCGAGGACGTGAAGAGAGAAGCTGTGCGACGATCCGAATTGAGAACGAGGAAACAAGAAGCGCGCGTGCGGGAGAAAAACAATCGGAGGGTGATAGCGCGGACGGCGAAGCTGGACGACGTCGAGCGTCGGATAACGCAATCTGCACGGTAAGCGTCGATTCTCCACTTATCTTTTCTTTCGTGCAAGAATACTTCGTCGAGTTTTAGCGGTTTTTTTTATTTTCACGATGAGCGATAGACGACGGCCTGAAAGAAGGAGGCGATTCACGCGATAAAAAATGCTGCTTAAACAAATGTCCTAAGTAAACGCTAAATATTTCGCGATGGAATTAAAACGTGAAGACACACGACAGTTTTTATCATTATTAAATTTACATTACACTTAAGAAAACGTTCGTTCGTATATTTTTTTTCTTGTAAGATGTTTGTTCTTTATAATTCCACTAGAATAAAAATTCTTAATCGAACGTATCGAGTCCTAGCACGATTCGGCAACTTTCACCACCCATACTCGTCTTAAGTTGAACGGATTTACTCGAGTATTTGTATTCTTACGCTCTTTGTGCATGCTTGAAATAGCGCGTATTTTTATGAGTATTTTATGATCCTTGCACGCGACGTAAAATAAGATGGGAGAGTCATGCAGTAGTATACCTAACCGATGTATCGCACTCGAATTTTCAATGCAGCAAGCAGTAACATCAACAAAATCAATATCCTGCTTCGTAAAGAATTATAATACGCACTTGAATTTTAAGTATATTTTAAGCACGCTTGCGAGAACGTTACTAGTTTCAAGTTTAACAAACGTGGAAACGATAAATAAAGAAAAATCTCGCATTATGACAAAGATATACAGCAATTTATATATTCAACTGTTGTCCAACGTAATATTTTTTATCAAATAAGTTAAAATCTTTATTTCTAAAAACTTCTCTTTCTACCATGAAACATGCACAAAAGCTTCGGAATTAAAATACTCGTTTGCTATAAATATCTAACTATATATTTTTTGTTTCAAAACAAATTAAATTTAACATGAAAGCTCACTGAACATTACAAAGTGAGAACTCATTGCTCTCTGGACCTACGACGACAGTCCTATCTATTTACGTACCCGTCTCGCGCGCGCACGGACGGAATAATACCCATGCTCTCACGAGCTATTATTAACCGACAAGTGCAACGAGCTTCCTCTCGATAGGATAGCCGAAAGCTCTGGGAGATCGAAATTTTCTATCTCGTTATCGTCTCGACGTCTTTCACGATTGCGTCGATCGAGACGAAATCGCGCGCACCTCGCAAAATTTCGAACGGCCTTTCTCGCCGCGCGAGACTTTCTCTCTATAAATAACGTGTAGTCGACCGTCGACGTCGTCTCGCGCGAGACAAGCGCGATAACAGGCTCGAGGAGAGTCGCGCGACTCTAATCGCCTTAACGAAAGGTTGTTACCACGCAATGGCAAGACACGCCGATTTCGTTCCCTCTCGCATCGCGCCACATCTCCTTTCATCTCTCGTTCTTCCCTCCCTACCCTTTCCGTCACCGTATTCTGGCGTTATAGATTCGTCGCGTCATGATGCATGAAGTATTTAAAAAATTGAAGAGTTGTATCGCGAGAAAACGAAAATAAAAGAAGAAGCTATTTCTTCCTCCTCGTTGAAAGCGGCGAAGAGTGAAGCGCCGCTTGTGTGATCAGCTGGTTGCTCAAATAATAAAATCTTACCGCTTTGTTTAGTCTCCGCATCTTTGTTTAAACGGATACGTAAATAGATAGGATTGTCGTCGTAGATCCAGAGAGTGGAAGCAATGAGTTTTCACTTTGTAATGTTCAATAGACTTTGATTAACGAGTTTGAGTCCCAGGCTTAACTTACGAGACATTCCACAATGAAAATTGAAATTGTGTGAAAACGCGAAAAGATCTTTTTTCACCGAAACGACATGCATAAAGTAGGTATATTACGGATTCGAGAAAATCAAGCTGGACGCGTCCAATAAGCGAGCCGAGTATTAATCTTACGATAAATGTTATATAAATAACGTTGAAGTCACGAGTGAATGAAGGGGAGACCGGACGACGGGAGACCCACGTGGTATCGCCGGGGCGATAACTTTTAATCGCTTTTCTGGAGGCAGCATGTATATTTACGCATACATTCATTCAGCTCGGTTTTTTTCTTTTCCCTCGTGTGCTGGTGGTGTAAACGTTGAAGCTTTGCTGCGTTTTCCATATCTGAAAG